CTACTACTAGTATAGAGCACGGAAGTTACACCTACCGTAGGTGCACCGCATGGGCATTCCAAATCTACCAGCGACACCAGCACTTCGTCCATGTCTTTGATGCGGCTGAAATTCTGCATCAGGCACTTGTCCGTCATGATTTTCGAAATATCAATGCCCCACTATACCATACAAAGTCCAAGATCAATGCCAATGGGTGCAGAAGCACGCGTACAACGTTCAAGGTCATATATATATATAATGCTCTCAGGCCATATTATATCTGATCAACACGGTTCCCACACTTATATATATATATATTTGTACATAAATCTATATTCAATGGATACAGACAAAACAAACAATATATATATATATATAAATCGTTATGTTGACGTACAGCATCATGGGGGCAAATGAGTTGGCGTACAACGTTCAAGGTCATATATATATATATATAATGCTCAAGGCCATATTATATCTGATCAACACGGTTCCCACTCTTATATAATATATATATATTTGTACATAAATCTATATTCAATGGATACAGACAAAACAAACAATATATATATATATATAAATCTATATTCAATCGATACAGACAAAACAAACAATATATATATATCGTTTTATGTCGACGTACAGCATGCATGGGGACGAATGGGTTGGCGCAGTGGGAACACTTGCACTCGATGCCACACAATTGGCCCGCTTTGACACATGCACAGCGGGCATTTCGGCATTTTCCCGTGCATTTGCATCGGATAGTGCCTTTCGAGTCGGGAGATTCCTACGATTCGTTGGGATTATTTCCCAATTTCCCCATGGTAGGGTACCGTGATTGGTGCCAACAACCCACTAGCTGGCTTCGTGTCGGCAACTACGACGACCGACGAAGGAACTTTCTTCGAAGGCCGCCGCGTCGGCTGGACGTGGGGGACAGGAGTGCTCTCATACTGCACAAATTCTGGCGAGATGATGGCCTTTCGCTTGTTGGAATCGTATGCAGAAGCTGGTGGTATCATGGGAGGTTGAGGTTGGGAAGCGCTTGACGGGACGCTGTTCTGCGGCCACATGTTGTACACCGTGGACGTGAGCAGCTTCTGAACGGGTCCTTCCGACTGCGGGGAAGGCTGCTCCGTGGGGGGTGGAGGGCCAGGCGCGGCTACGGGCGGTCGAAACTGCGGAATGTCCTTCCACTGGTCAGGGGACGTGTCTGCCTGGTGGTCGTCGTAGTTGTTCTCGTTGAAGGACTTCCAATCAATCGCCTCCCCACGGAACTCGTCTTTGACCATGCCTGCATTCGACGACATGGGAGGAGGCACGTCTACATGACGTGTTTGACGGTAGTGGTGCATGCATGTACGTACATGGCGACAAGAGGGCGATGTCGAACTCGGTGAGAGCACTAAACGTCCCCGACCCAGACGTTGCGTTAAGGGTATGCTGCAGCCAGTGTAACGTCATGGGCGAGATACCAATCGAGGATGGCGATTCAGTCGACGACGACGATGCCGTGGGGTCGAGGATCAGCGACGAGAACTCCGAGTCTAGCTCGTTCACGGGGCTCACCCATGTGCCATCACCATTATCCCCGTGTTCGTTCTCTGTCACAGTTCCTTCCGTGTGCTGCGCTTGGTCGTCCTCGGCCATCAGCGCTTCCACGGACGGAATTGTGCCGGGGGATTGCATCTTGTCAGTGTTCTTGCAATCGAAGCGATGGAAAAATCGATTATCCGGATGATTGTTTCGCAAACATACAAGTTGTTGCCCTGGATCAACTTCCAGTATCCGGACGATCCGAATTTCAGCAGGAATGTTGTGGACTTTTTATTATTGCCAAGTAGTTTTCAGAAATAGCATGAGCCAATCAAAATCGATTTATCACTTTTTTTCACGATTTATAGTTAGAAAAAAACGTCAAGTACCTCTTTTTCTACTTTTGGTACAGTGAGTTGCGTAAAAATCGCAGAAAAAGAGGTAAAAAAGTACTAGTAGAAAACTGTAATATTAATATTATGCTTTGCACCTTTTTTGGCAAATCCAGGGTTAAATTCATTGTTTAAAATTTTCTCAGGCTTAAATAATGTCTAAAGTAACTTGAATAACGGTTGGGTGCGTTGTTTAAAGTTACGTGATCGAATGCGACGATTGGTTGGTTGAAGGTAGTTTTACTAGCAAGTTGTCTGCCGTTTTCATTACTAACCAATAACGAATGGTTACCCGTTGGTAGAATAGATGTATTTGATAGGCTGCTGCTACTATATAAGCCAATGTCATTTCTGGCAAACAACTTGTGTTACGTGAACATGTCAAGGTGCTTGCCGCAATGAAACTGAAGCAGCTATGTCCACATACAGGACCTCCCAACCGTGATCACTACAAACGTTAACTACTCCGACTAATTTATAACGTTACGGATATAGTTGGGCTAGTCGTCGCTCTGTCCAATGATTCAAAGCTATGCCACACCTACAACTCTTGATGTGCTCTAACCTTAGCACTGTACGTGGGGAAGGCAACGGCGCACTACGACTAACGATGTATAGTACTCCCATTTCACATCCTAATTCGGTATGCATCGTGATGAACTGGTGGTTGTACGGCGTAAGTTGGCCTGGTGCTGCAACTCGAGTAGTTAGCAACTGAAATAAAGTAAGGGTTGTCTTATTCTGCTGAAATGCGGAACTTGGGTTTAGCGTTGTTTTTGTCTTGAATCGGGCTTATATTATTTTAAACGTCTGGTTGTTTAACGCAGTGAAACAACGGGCAAACTACATGAAAAGCACAATACTTGGAACCACTTATTCATTTGCTAAAAATATCTACTTGGAACAGGCCTAACATGTAAGCTTACAGAATACTAGTACAGCAGGAACGTTGTCGACTTTTTATTGACATACTATTAAGTTACTTATGGTGCATTTCATCTAAAGACTACAGATCGGCCATCCTCAGGAGGAGACGTTTTACTATTAAACGCCTCGGTTATTTCAGTTAAACCCCCGTAATGTTGACGTTAAATTATTTTACTTTCGTTTTTTTATCTGGTAAATAGGTTAAACATCCTGAATAATCCGAATACAATATCGAAACGTTCATACGGATAAGTGCTGTATACAAAGACCAAGATATACTTGATGCTCCTTTTCGGCCAAAATGTGCCTGGCTCCATATATTTCCATACAAAAAGGCTGGTTGGTTTAAATTCTATTACTCGATCAATTTTTCACCAATCGAAATTTTGAACCGTAACTTCTGTTGGTCTTGACCAGTTCTATCGTTATTACGGCTTATTTTCCTAAAAAATATCTATACAAAGTTGGAATAGCTGTCGAAAGACAAGGCATTTTTTTGTAGTCTTTAGTTGAAATGCACCATATTACTTACTGTACATGACGGCTACGTTACATGGTTAGTGCACTTGATGGTACTAGTAAGCAATGCTTACTAGTACCATGTAGCCATTGTATTTGGAGCTGATTTGACGGCAACCACACAGTAACTAACATGCACACAATTATTCGTCAATTTATGCATATGAATGCTAAAACACTTTATGTTTCTGGAGCTCCTTCAGTCGTTGGGTTCGTCGCTTTTCCCGCGTGGCCAACTTAATATGCGACTCCCGAGCATTGGTGGTCTCAATGTGCCACCCAAGCCGTTCGGCCACAGCCACAAACCCGCCGTGTTTCTTTCGAATGGCATGGACTAAATCATGTCGACCGATGGCCTTGAGGAACTGGGTGTCTGGCATCTCCGTCTTCTTTTTCGACGGTGACGACCGCAGAGGCAGTTGCGCCACGGCTCGCAGCTCCTGGGATATCATTTCAATTCCTGTTCATCAAACCATGAACGATGCTATACGTACAGCGACCATGATGTCAAAGTTTCCAAGATTCAGCTTCACTGGTGGCAGCAGCGGTGGTGCTGCCACGTCAGAGGGTCCAGCCGCATACGTCCGTCGCCCCAACGTCGACGTCGCGCCAATCACTCGTCGAAACATGACTCTTGAAATGGTTATCCGGGACAAGGACTTGTTTATCCGGACAAATAACGATGTCTCGTTCGGTTAATATCCGTAACGTTTTCTGAATCTCTTACTTCGTTGTGAATATTTCATTTCCGCATCTTGAATTCTTCACCGAAAGTTTTACTTTTGCCACATTTCAGATGAGTTCCACAACCCTAAATCTTATCTCAAACGTGCTTCCAAAAACTCAAAGCCACGTTTGGCTATTGTAACGTTCGTTACCTCCAATAGCCAAACTTGTTTGGTACGAGCAAAAGTATGGACAGGAACGATTTTATGTTTCGGAGACACACGTCCTTACTACTTGTACTAATAGTACTTTACACTATTAGTATGTGCGCATCTTGGTGGAGGAACCCCAGGGTTGGCACCGTCAGCACGAATCGTGCACAATAGGAACATTTCGGAGACGAGTATTTCAACTTCATTGTAACGAGAGATTGTGCAAATGGGAATATTCCAGTGAGAAAATTCGGTGCATCCACTGGGAATTTCAGCCAAATAAATTTCCAGTCAAAAATATTGACTGGACAAATCGTTAAAACACGCTCACAACCATAGCATCACGGCAAGCAGGTCAGCTATAGACAAAGCAACCCTACCGCTTCAAGACCCAGCATGATGCAGATCTCATAAAGGAGTTACAGTATTCACCACATACCCACTCGACAATACAGTACTTAACGGGTGCACTCAAATCACTCTGGTTTGTACCTACCGGTAGTGCATGTCTGCTCATTTGCAAAAACTTGAATATATTTCCAATAGAAGTATTGGATCATATCCTCAGAATACTAGTATTCCCATTGGTAAAATCACTGATCGGGCACTTATTCTCGGACAGTGGTAGTGACGTAGAAATGTTTCGTGTGTGAAAACAAGCAAAACCAACCAGTTGAACATTTATCATGGATTGCAAGGACGAGAATTTGGCGGTACGCAACGGCGTGCGCCACCAAGGCATTTACGAATGGAACGGCGACGGCCACATTCTCGGGATTGTGTCCAGCCGCCATCACTCCCATCAAGCAGGCTCCAAGGCCAGGCGAAATTGGCGCTGCGGCAACTGTGGCGCTCGAGACCACATCACCATCGACTGCAGTGGGCTGGTGCGATACACTTCCAGACCATAGTACACAACTCTACACACGCCGGAGTAGAAACTTCGCTTCAACGGTGTAGTAGTTCCGTGGATATTTATGTACTAACGTTACGTAGTAAAAAGTAGCTATGCGCGATATAGGCCGACCGAGACCTGTCATTGTCCGTTGGAAGCATTGGTGTTGTTTGCCCATGACATGTGAAATGATAGGCGGCAATAATAATGTATTAGTACCGTACAGGGATACATACAGTTTCGGGTTTCTACATACTGTACTACGTACAGAACTACCTTTGAGTAACGTTACAGAACAATTCCTCGATTAAAACAGTGGTATTGTTTCTTTTCTACATCTCACGCGTGTTTATTTGCTCCCTGACCAGCTCACCACTTACTTGGGGTTAAATGCATCTCAGCGGTTAGCGACTGGTGTTGCAGTTAACCCCGGGGATATTACAGCTAACGTTAGCATTATGCGTACTCGCGGTCCCAGGTTTAAGGCTAGAGAGTGTATCCGGATAGCATAATTCCCTCTTAATATTAACGTTACTATTGTATTACTAGTAATAGACATTGTCAAAGGGATTTCTGTGAAATGAAACTGTGGTAAACAGGGAATTATTCCTTTTGCACTAACACTAAAGCGTTCATTCGCCACACCTTTACAGTTATGCAGTGCGTGAAGATGGTGTCGGCTACCAGTGACAATCTTGTGCAATGCCAACGCGACTACAAACTATGGAAAAGCGCATAGCCTTTCTACAAGGTGTTGGGATGACGATTTTGTTCCTTGTCCAATGTCAAAATTGGCCAGAGACTGAACCAACATACTACCGGTAGTTAGTAGTACTTGACCATGATGATTCTCGTGATGAAAAAACGCACTTTGGTCAAAATTGATTTCGACTTGGCAGGTTGTACAGTAGCATCGCATATGTACAACTCGTTAAACTGACTACTTACTCCCCCCACCCACAATGGGTTAACTACCAGACTTCGACTTGGCAGTTTGTAGCATCGCATATACGTACACAACTAGTTCAACTACAGTGGGTTAACTAACCGAGGTTACGCAGTCTCTAATAACGGGTGCTACTCTACTACTGAAGTTTCTAGTATTATTGTGACCGACAGCATCAGTGTGCGTTCATCCAACACCGATCAGACACATGGTTTCCGTGCCCGATCAGCTGGTCTAACCTCCTCTCTACTCACTGTCATTTCCACCCACAACCGACCGGCCGATGAGCAACCTAAACAGCTCCAACGTCACCCTTATCCATCCTATATGCACATCGTTGGCATCCTGCCTCGCGTTTGGCAAAGTATCATGCGACCGCGCCTCACAAGAGTGCCCTCCCTGCATATACACTGACGCCAAAGGACGGTCCCTTTGCTACGCCCGCATCACTGGCACCGTGTTGTGCCCGTTTGTCAACACCACCGCAGATTGCAGTACGTACGTACGATTGTCCGTCCACCCCGCCAGTGATTACCCCTACCACCACCTTGTATGTCATTGTCTGAACTCGATCTCCCACAGGCACGTCAAACGATACATCGTCGAGCCTGGTGTTGGTGAACAAGACTAGTAATTCCTTCCCCAAGAACAAAACCGCATCGACATACTTCGTCAACACCACCGCCTCGCCCGACATGGATGCCGCCGCCGCCGCCTCCCACGGCAGCATGTCCTCGCTCAACGTTGGCCTGGTCGTGACTGTGGTCGTTCTAGCCGCCGCGATCGTCGTCATGCTGGTCATGTGGATCAAACGAAGCCGGAACGTCAGCCGTCGTGGCATATTCAGCGAGCCGAAACGGCCCCACTACCACAACAACCGCGAGATTGTGCACATTGGGTCTAACGTGTTTCACAGTCAAAACCAGAACCAGCGACCACACCCTGGCAACAACACCAACGACTACCTTACGTCCATCAACCGACTGCACACACCCGTGCTCGGCGAGCCAATGACCCTGGGGGGGGGCTACTCGCAAGATTCCTCCCCTGTCTGGCGGATGAGCACGTCGTCAAACATTCTGCGTTAACTGACTCACTCGTCTCTTTGTCGTGTCGTCCTAATCTACCTACTACTAGTATTACTAGTAGTACTACTACAATTCGTACTACTCATATCAATCAAAACGCCCCCGATGGCCGGATAAGGGTTTGGTTGTCGTCTTCCCGTGGCGACTCCATGATGTGACACAACGACACGGACCGACTAGAGGCAATGCTGCTGGTGTTGTTCAGGGTGTCGAAATACCCAACGACCAGTGGCGTGGTCATCATGGTGGTTGTCATGGTAGACGACAGGTGTAGTTGGGGCGACGGGCTTGGTGGGTAGAGCGTGAAAGGAGTTGGGTCTTGGTAGTCGGGCGGGGAGCACGAAGAGCACGAATTCTTGACGCCATGTATGGGCATGGACGGCGTTCGATGATGATGCTGGGCGGCGCTTGACTTGGTGTATTGCGTGTACTTGAACACAGCGACGGCAAGCGCGGACGCCAGCACCACCACAACCACCATGAGCCCAATGCTCAGACCATTCCAGGACGAAGGGTCTTCTTCTTCCCGGACGACTGTGGTTTGCGAGTTGGATGTAATGTGTGGACGAGGTGGCGTAAGAGTAGTCGAATCCCCGTGGATGCTTGGTGTTTTGTTGCGGAGGGGTGGCACCGACGACGTCTCGCCGCCGCTGCAGTCGGCGGTCGTGTTCAGAAATGGACACAGTTTCGTGCCTGTGATTTGGTCATAGCACAACGTCTGGCCCTTCGTGTCAATGTAAATGCAAGGCGGGCAGTGCTGGATGTTGCGGTCGCATGGGACTTTGCCGTACGCGACGCACATCTGAAGCGATGTACAGAAGTCCTCGGCAACTTGGGCGGAGCTGTGTGGCACGACAATGGCGAGGACGGCTGCTACGGACGACGCGAACCAGGCCATGGACATAGTTTGACAAAATGGTGAGAACCACAGGTGACGCTCGTTGGCTTGCGTGATGGGAAGAGATGCAAATGAACTACTGTGCACCGCGATATGGCAATGTGTTATTGTATATACCAAAGTGTATTGGCGCTTCTGATCAGGAAGGTTTGTGAGTGCGTTGTTTGGTGGACCAAGGGTTGCTACTGGATGACACCGCGTCAAAATGATGGCAAACGTTAATACGTTTTGGCAAGTCTGCAAGAGGCTCATATCCCATGAGAAAATAGGAGTAATTCCCCAATTTAAATAGAGGTATTTCTCAGGATAGTCCATCCCTGTCCGATATTTCTCAAGATCGTCCATCGAGAAATATTATTATTCCAAAGGAGAGAAAGCAATTCTATTGGTCAAAAGTAAATCGAGTCAAAGAGTAAAACCACTCGAACTCATTTCACGTTTTGCGGCCGACCACAGACTTTTGGGCAGGCGACAGTTGCGCACAGCCGTCCTGGTCCGACGATGCGACACCGGACACATGAGGTAGCGATTGCCATTCACTCTACCTGTATGCCAGGCTCATCCTCTTGCCTGTGCGCAACTGTCGCCTGCCCAAAAGTCTGTGGTCGCGACCAATACAATGTAGATAACGGATATAAATAAAACCTAAACGTTAAACTCCTTAAGATGGTACTTTGAACAAGGAAACAGACCTTTTGTCTACTACGGAGTATTAATAGTAATCAGAACGGTTTAATTTTACCCTAATAACTTTCGAGCAATATTTCTCATTTGGTATATATTTGAACCCGATTTGCACCAAGATTACATTCTCTGCTAACGACACTTCGAATGGGTAACTTATTAGAATCGATTCGCAGTTTTTTTAATGACCAATTTCATTTAAAATGGATGAAAACTCATGTATTTCGAGCCACTTATGTCGTGCCTGATTCTGACAGACACATACAATAGTACTATTAATCGTACACAGGTAACAGTGTTACGGCCAGTTTATGTGCACTCAAATTGGCCAATGGAATTGCTTGAAGTTTTGAATAGCCAATCGAATCACTTAAACCGTCCGTCCTATTTTGCCTTGACTGGAGTGGAAATTGAAGTAAATCAACGCCAAGCTGAAGTCTATTCAAGCCGATTAAATAATCAGAAGAATGCCAAACCTTTCGGCTTCATCCAGCACTTTTCAGAATTGAAATCCCGGTCGTGAGAGACACGAAAGCTGTATTCTACGACGAGGTTGCTTTTAAGTGCACGACTCTCTGATCATTAAAATTGGATTTCTAGTGAAATTCTTTACATGGCATGTATACCCATTGTCAATGCAATAACCTATTTTGACTGACAGTGAGATACAATTGTTCAAGCCTCAACAAAGTGAAACCTATCAATCATCTTCAATCAGAGGTAGTAAAGGCTAAAACTCAGGCAATAATATGAGTTAATCCGTTGGGTAAGTACGTAGCTAAAGCTCGTAGGTACGTGAATTTAAATCAATAACGTTACAATCGTGTACTCACCGAACGAAGAAATGTACCTCCCCAATGTACTTCCCCAATGGATTAACTCCAATAATATAAACGGCCAAGTGTCCCGACAAGGCTCGATTGAATTTGGGAGGCTTGATGGGAAATAATTCCCTCATTAACACTGTAAAACAGCTCCACTGTTGTTTTGACCCGAAATACTGTTTCAATGAGGGAATTATCACATCCGGATATACCTTTTCTTCACAGTAACTCTGTAATCTGGGACTCCGTCCTACCCCCGGTGAGTACACCCGATGATAAATCCCCGGGGTTAATGCATCGCTAGTGGTTAGCTATCACTAACCACTGAAATGCACTTAACCCCTAGTTAGAGGTGAGGTGGGCCGAGCATACAAAGTTCCATAGAAACACTCAAATTGCAGTGTTTACAGTACTGAGAAAACAACAGTGAAACTGTATTACAGTAAATGAGGGAATTATACCTTGATTGGCGAAAGCACCACTTGAGACATGCTTTTTGTTTTGTGAACGTTACCATGTTTATTAATACTTAGTTACTAGTATACCGGTACAAAGCATAAGCTAATTGGGTTAAGAGACAATTTATACAGACTTGCTCCTTACGAACCTAAATTTATGTTCAGGGCGGGTCTCGATGTCATGATACTACGTAGTAACTGACACAAAATGGCCATTTTTCCAAGAAAAGTTGCCAAAATCGAAATACTCGAGATATTTGGATCCACCAATGTTCAAGACATTATACAACAATTTTCTTGAGTATCGGGTGTTTTATGGAGGTTCGTGTTCACACGTGAAAGTCTTGCGCTTCACATGTCCATCGGACATGAAATAATATTTCGAAAATTCATCTGTCATCCAGACAACTTCGCAGATATTTCTGTTCTCCTTGGTTCAGTACAATTCCCCGATTAAAGCAGTCCCAGTGTTGCTTTTCTCAGTAATGGATGTTTATCTTATGGATGAATATGATCACTTTGCGGACAGCCGACAATTTCAGTCGGACATATACTTGACATTGGTATTGGACTTAAGGGGATCATATTTTGTCCGAACGGTATATGTCGGACATACTTGTGTGTATTGTACACACCCGTCAAACTAACTTTCTTGGAACTTGTTTCAAGGAAGAACGATCAGCTATACAGTTGACGACAGAGCATCCGCACCGCAGCGTAGCGGAGGTCGTGTGTATAATTTTGTGCAGCCGGTGCCTTGGCGAGGAGTGAGCCCCAATTGTGCACTTCACAAATGTCCAATCGATTCCTCTTGTCGGGAAAAGCGGCAGGTAGGCCGCAGGCCGTGCCGCTACCCGGACAAGGCCTAATGTACAACTAATCGCATTTAATGCGTGGGGAAGTTCCAAGTAGTTTTTAGAAATAGCATGAGCCAATCAAAATCGATTTACTGTTACCTCATTTTTTTCACACTTAGAAAAAGACGTCAAGGACCTCTTTTTCTACTTTTGGTATAGTGAGTTGAGTAAAAAATCGCAGAAAAGGAGGTAAAAAAGTAGGAAACTATACTGGAACCAATTTTTCATTTTGCTAAAAATATCTACTTGGAACATGCCCTGTTCCAAATACAATCAAGTTCGTGCCCGAAGCAAATGTCAAGCAAATATTTGCCCGAGTCGTTATGGTATGCGATTTTGTATCCCCTGACCACTTCACCTCGTACTGGGTGAAGTGGTCAGGGGATACTCATTCGATACCTAACCACTGGTGATGCATTCACTGTTAACCCTGGGGATTTAGCATTTAAGTACCGGTACTGTATATGTATGTATGTACTCACCGAGGCGGAGTGTAATGTTTATCCCGATGGTATTTTTCCCTGTTAGTCAAGTAGTAGGACTATTTAAAGGGTATTTATTTCTCAGGATCGTCCATTCCTGTCCGATATTTCTCAAGATCGTCCATCGAGAAATATTATTATTCCAAAGGAGGGAAAGCAATTCTATTGGTCAAAAGTAAATCGAGTCAAAGAGTAAAACCACTCGAACTCATTTCACGTTTTGCGGCCCTGCCTTCAAATGGTTTTTTTCTTCATGGGTTCAACGCATGTAAAGCATTTATAAATCTGATTGGTGCTAAATCACGAGCGCGTTGCCGTATATAAGCCAGTAGTTTTAGTTTCTCAAAATTCATATTATAATGCATTTATATCACGATTTGTATTGACCGTGCCGGATCCAAGCAGACCCCTACAATAAGAACGTCGTCACTGTGACGCTAAAACTCTAAAACTTTAATTTTTCAGTCAGATTTTAGCGTTTTACAGTTAACCAGCTTGGATGGTGGATTCGCCCACTGACTTGTTCTCATGTTTTGCCCTGAAGTACTTTGATCCAGGGCCTGTAGTTTGTTGTTGAGGCATCCCTCGTACATCCACACGAATAGAGTTCAATCGCAGTTTGAAAACCGGTGTGAAATACCCGTAAGATGAAATGAGCTAAATCATGCAGCGCGGTCCCACTTTAGATCTGCTTTTAGAGTTCTGGGTTTAGCGTCATGGGTGGGGATGCTCAAAGTTAGTACGAAGTACTTCGAAGTACTTAGAGTATTATAAATCCCACGGGTGGATTTATCGAATGAGATTTATTCGGATAATGTACGGATAACAGCGAGATTTAATGGAGTCCCAGGGATAAATCTCAATTTCCCCACCCATGAGATTTATTCCGATTCACACATAAAGGCCGCCGCACTCTGACTACATGTAGCTGCTACGAGTGCGGCACCAAATGAAACCCACATGACGACTGTTACATCACATTCAATCAAACGTTACAGTAGAAATCTATCATGTCGAAGCGCATGCCGCAGTTCGACGCCGCAAATTATCTCACTCGTCACTAAAACGATGGAACACACTTGAGCTTATATTATCACAGCATGCGTACAATTCTCATACCATGAGCTAACTGTGACATGGACTCTGATAAAACATTCTACGCGGTGCTCACTAATTCGTTTACCCAGCTGATGCCGCCATCACCGCCCTCACAATCGGGGCGACTTGGTTGTCGCTGCGATGGTGAGGGCTGTGGCGACGGCGTCAGCAGGGTGGACACATGGCCATTCGGCGTAGGGCTGTGACAGTCGGTGGTGTTCAGAGGTCCAATTAAGCATCGACAGGGGTTATCGTACATGTGCACAGTTCACTGCGCCGTCGCATCGGGGTTTCGGGGTTTCGGGGTTTCGGGGTTTCGGGGTTTCCGCGTTGAAATTGCGCGTTGAGTTCAATAAAATGGTAATTTTATGTGATGAAACTTCATTTTACTATACCAAATATTGCTTTGGATTATTATTTTGATATTACTATGAATCCGGATAGCATAAATCTGATGGATAAATCGAGGCGAAAAAGTCCTACTGTATTGTAGAATTTGAAAAGCATCGAGAAAGAGCAGATTCAACAACCCTTTCTTGATCATATTCCGACCTCACTTAGTATTTGTATGCACTAGTTTTGGCCAATGAATCGCTCGTCCATCCTAGTGGGTTAACATTACATACACTACTGTATCGTAACCAGCGCCATCAATATAGTGTACCGGGTACAACTAGGTTCTACACAATGGACAACCAACCGGTAGTACGTACTACTAGGTAGTACTTAGTACTAGGGTAGTATTGATGAACACTCAAGATGCATCATATGCATGGTCATCCAAGGGGAGAGCAGCGCTTGAGGTCCAAGTTGCTGTGAAACGGGCGACATGCGTACTTGCACTCGAGGGACTTTCCATTGCAGCACGTCAACTCGTCTTCCAACACGTGCGCCGTCGTGTACTTGGGAAACGTCTTGGCGCTAATCACCGGGATCACCGTGACGCCGGCGCACGCCTGGTACGGCGCCGGCTGCCGCTTGGCTGGGGCGTCTTGAAACCATGCGAGCTGGGCACATGTGCCTTGGATGCGGCGGCGGGTGTCGGCAGAGCACGGCTCGTCGCACCGCTCGATGCCAAATGATCTCGTAACTGTTCGGGCTGTTGCAATCCCTTGTGTAACCGTCGAAAACGGCAGCGTACACGTGAGTGTGAGTTTCGTCCATGCGGCACCCGGGAGTGCCGTGAGGGCCACATTGTGCTGGATGACCTCTGTGCCTGACGTGTTGTCCAGCCAATCCGACGACGCCACGGATTCCGTCGTGTCGTACTGCCACGTACAGTGGAACCCTCCAAACTGCCACTGGATCTTGACATCGAGCGCGTCTTCAATGGGTTTTGGCGGCGGGGGGAGGTCGGGGGCCGGGGGAGGGCCAAAGTCGCAGGTGATTCCGCTCGAACATCCCTCGCTTTCGTTGGTGGCACAGGTGTTGCACTTGCGGGGGATCGTGTTGGCCGCCTTTCCCACGCACCGATGGGCGTTGAAAAGTGATACCACGGCTACTTTGGTGTTGCGATACAATTGGACAGATACACTAGTATATTGTCCCTTGAGTTGTTGGCACTTGTCCAACACTGCGCACACGTCGTCGTACTTGTAGCACACGCCCTCGTTCAACCTCATAAACGAGTCGGGTTTTCCCGTACACGATGGGTTTTTCCCGTACACATTGTACGTGATGGTTCCAAGCTTGGGGGGGTTGGGCGGAGGTGGTTGGGGGGACGGTGGAGCGACCAGCATCCGACCGTCGAGCATCGCCTTGAACGTGTCCGACGTCGGATCAAAGCGAAACTTGCACACGCGAAAGTCCGACTGCGGCACTGTGCACGCGTTCTTGGACGACCCACACGTCCACAGACTTCTCCACCACGCATCAGTCACCAACGCCGCGGTGCGGTGCACAAAGATCGTCCACTCGACCTGTTGGACGCGGCCGCACGCAGAGTGCCCTTCAAACACCAACCTCGTCTCAAAACGGGGAAATGTCAATTCGAGCGAGTCGTCGATGCGCTGCCACTTGTTGTCGAATGTGTTTTTGACCCGCCAAAACACGAGTATTTCGTTCGACTTCGTCTCAAATAGACCTTGGACTGCCGCATCCGTCGACAGATCCCCTACAAACGTGAACAAGTCGTGCACGTTCACCTGAAACTTGTTGGCGCAAAACGTGTCGTAATCCTGGGGCCATGCCGTCGTGCGTTCGCACGCCACGTCAAAGTGCAGTTCCTTGGAATTGTCCGACGGCAACTTGTAGTTGGCACCTGGAAACACAGCGGTAGGGTTGGGGATGAGCTTCACCTCCCCGTGGGTCCAACCCGAAGCGGGCAATTTCAACTGCACCGTCGCGGCGGGGGCCAGTGTCGGTCCGTCCAGCGCCAACGTTTGCGAAAACGCACACTTTTCCAAGTCGATTCCCGAGTTCACTGTGCCTTCGCACACGCGAGGGGAGGTCACGCCAACGTCGCACGTGTATGGCGTATAGTATTCTCTCAAGCTGACGCTGTGGGTACAAGTCCGGGTACACAAAGAAGGGGGAGGTCCATCCCCCCCAACCACAACAAGGTCTCCGTTCTCGTCGATGGGGTTCGTCGTTAATTTGGCCCACTCCGCGTCGGACAGAGGCTGAGACAGGCATGTAAGCCAATGGCCCAAGGGGTCCAACACGGCCGACTGGCTGTCAAACTGGTACGTGCGCTGGGTCTCAAAGAACGCGGTGCGTTCGACAAACACTTCGTCGCAGCGGTTGTCGCTGCACGCATTGTTGGTGGCACCTACACGGTACTGAATCAATGCGTTGACTTGGTTTTGGTAGCGTTCCAACGCCGCAGCCGAGTACGCCGTGGATGGCTTGTCACTGCAGTCGGACGGTTTCGTGTTGGTGGGGCGATAAGTATCTGTCACGGACAAGCACGTGGCACACTTGCGCGACTGGACAGAGCCATGACCAGCTTGGTCAAAGTCAAATGCGGTTAAGGCCAAGCGGTACACGCCGGGCGTTTGCGGCAGCTTGTTGTACAAGATGGTCGGTCCATTCGATTCAAACGTTTTGTAGTCGAAATCGACTATTGTTGGCTTCGCTTCCGCAGGGAGCACGTTCGCGTTGTCGCTCAAGTCGATAGAAACGTCGACATGGACGTGTGGGTTTGGCTTGATCGAGTCGTACGGGGGGGGCGCTTCCAAGTCGTAATGGTAAGAACTTCGAGGGTACGGAAAGTACAAACTGTCTTTGTGGGCAAACACATTGGGAAAGCAAGTGTCCAGACCGTCGACGTTGACCGTGTCCTTGGTGATGTCAATATCCAGGGCGTTCCGGTCAGACCCTGGCACACGCCACTCGCACTCTGGGTACTCGTCCGGTCGGATGTCATCGTCAGCCCCGTTAGTCCCTATAGCATATGTGTCGTCCTGCAGCAGCAACTGGTTTGAATTGCTGCTGTGGTGTTGGTGGTGATTGGAGCGAGCCAGGACCCAGTCTACCCGCGCTTGGGCCATCGCCCCGGCCGACGCCACGACCAAGCCAAGCCGTCGCAGCATGATAAAAGCAATCGGGCAATGGGTAACTCGGCGACGGTTCAGCCCGACGAACAACGACCTTTCGGACTAGGGCCTAGGGGAAAGAGATTCTTAAAGAGGGGGTTATTTAGTAGATACGGTAGACGCACAAAATGTATGGGTGCGTGAAACACCTTGCATAGGTATCCCTTGCTATAAACCACGTTAACAGACGGAAAGTTTGAGTCCTAATGTTGGTTACATGTAGGTATAAATAGGTAGTAGTACTGTCTTATGTCATACAGTACCTATTGACCATCCTACTTCGACGTAAAAGCGAATGGCTGGGGGAAATACTCAGTTTGTTTGTAGCCTCCAATACTACTACGTACAGCGTACTACTAGTATGCCGTAGTACTGTACCGGCGGTAATCACATCGCCATTTCAGGCATCAAATTCTGCGATAACATTAACGATATACTGCAGCCTCATCGGATGAATGGGTGACGAGTTATGGCACTCACAAAGTAGGCCAAGCTGGACCGGAATTACATGAATCACCTTATACTAGTGTCTCGCCCGTCGTGACCACGATACTGCAAATATATGACCCCATCCCACTTGTCCAACAAAGGGTAAAGTGCCCTTTCAACCTGTCGAGAAGGACCTGTCCGACCTAGGGATGTATGTGTACATGAACGGTACACTTTTCGTTATCTACTGGGCAGCCACGACGACGACATGGAGCGGGCCGGAGGGTCCCTCGGTTTAAGGAACGATGGGGGCTGCTGTGGGGGTGGTGTGTGCCGCCGTGCTGAAGGTGGTGGGTAGTTGTGGTGGTTGGAACTTGCGTTGGTAAAGGTGGTCCCGCTAGTATTACTACTAGTAGTACTCGGATACGACCGGGACCACGACCGACGACGACCATCCGCCGACGCACTGCGACTGCCACCAGAGCCCCCACCTTCCGATCCTCGTCGGTGGGGATTGCTGGGCAATTTCCTGGGAAACTCCCCAGATTCTTCGACCCGGGGATCACCGACATCCCACAAGGACTTGCGTTTGCGACGGGAGCCCAACGCATTCATCACGGGGGACGCCACTACTGGAGCGGACGGGGAAATTTCCTTGGGAACGATCCCATCCGAGCCTTCAATGGGCACGTGTTCTTCCTGCTGTACACGAGAAGATGCTACGGACGGAGCGGCAACGATCGAGTCAATGGGCCCACGCGGTGATAAGTCGGTTGAACCAAGGTCGACAACCACCTGTGGGGCGACTGCGGCGTTGGTGGGGCTGTTGGCAGTGTACTCGCCTTCCTCTGCTTCGGTTTCGTGGGGAAGAATCCCTTGGAAAGTTGGACGGGAGTTTGGGATTGTGCCTTTTACAGCGGATGGCGGGTGAAGAATACCTTGGGACTCCTGTGGGAGCGGCGGCGCTGGGAGTTCGATGGTAGGGACAGTCGTGGCTGCCGATGTCGCGTGGTGGTCCAAATGAGGTGGGTGGGTTAGTTGAGAGGATGGAGCGTGATGTGGACTCACGAGGTGCTGCGTACTGGAGGCTGGTGGAGATGTCGATGTTAAGACTTCACCCATTGCATCATCTGTCCCTACGACGAGAGTCGCGGAGGACGTGGTCGAGGTAGGAACGCTGCTGCTGTTGTCTGGTGCTATGGTGAGAGGCTCTTCATCGTGACCCAGCCTTGCTACTTCGGCTTCGCTGTGGGAGCCCTGGGGGCCTTGGTGGTGGTGAGTTTCCCATCGACTGACCCACTTCTTCCGCGGCGGGACAAATGGACTGCTGCGCATGAACTCGCTGCTCTTGTGCAGCGTCAACATGCTCGTGTGGTAGGTGCTTTCGTTGTTGCCGAGGCTAGTAGGCTCGTTGGTCGCAGCCACCTTGCCAGGACCTGTCGAAGGTGTGTCATCGTCGCTGGGCGATTGCTTGTGCTTCTTTTTCTTGCGCTGTTGTTTGAGGGTCTTGTCCGAGCTGTTGTCCGACAGACTCAGCTCATCCTCTTTCTTCTGCATCTTCTCAATGGACGCCCAGATCTGCGCCGTCTTGCGCGCTTCTCGGCTCATCGTTGATGATGATGGCTTCAGTGACTAAAGACGGCACGATGTCCAAATCTTCGCCCTGTCACAACGCATACGTTGTCATGTATTATATTTAGTAGTGCTATTTGTGAATTGAATTACATACAAATGTCAAGATATCGTTTCCAAAACGAGTAGTTTGGGTAAAAAAGCCAGTCGCAACCAGAATTATATTCTTATCCCATACAAACCTCAGTATATATTTGATGAATCTGGTTTAAAATAGAGACATTTGATTGGCTAAAGTGAGGCGCGGTGACAATCCTTATTGGCAAGGTTTCCCAGAGAATCGCGCGGGGTGCCATGTCCACCGTCCTCTTCGATTATGCCGTCATGCGAACATGCACCTGAAGGCATCACATTCGACCTAGACGACACCCTATGGTACGTCGCATCGTTCGCACAGTCAGCCTTGATGGCTTCTGATACAGGTGCGGCAAGGAGACCCTGCAGAAGGCCACCCACGCCTTCCACGACCACCTGGAGCGTTCGTATCCTCTGATCACTCAATCACTGTTTCAATCGACATGGACCAACGTGCTGTCTTCGACTGACCTGCGAGACTTTACTGCACTGCGGCAGGCCACTTTGAAGCAGTGCGCCGAAAGCGTCAACTACAACGCAGACGACGTTGTATCGACGTCCATGCGCGCGTTCTTGGCCGCGCGGAGCTCGCCGACGTTGTTTGACGGCGTCGAAGCCCTCCTCCAACGTCTGCAGGTAGGAATGCCACTCGCATTAGAGGTGGAAAATTGAATCCGTTTCTGCGTGGTATCGTAGGCACGACAGCTCCGACTTGGCGTGGTGACAAACGGCAATTGTCAGCTTGAGTACCTCCCATGTGTCCTTCAATCAGCTTTTCAACGTGCCTGGGTGGCCCCTGATTCTGTCCACGGACACAGCAAACCACATCGCGGTATACTTGAATGGCGACGTACTTTGCTAAGTGTGAACTGTAGCCTTATTCGACAAAGCGCTGTCATTGCTCGAGCTTGATGCGTCCAAGGTGGTGCACATAGGCGACGACTACGTGTGCGACATCACTGGCGCGAAAAGTGTAAGTTGAACCTTGGAGTTGCTCAGGAAAGTTCGTGTGCGGTGTAGGTTGGCATGCGCACTATTTGGGTCACTTCAGAACGAGAAGTAGATGTATCCGCGTACCCCAGTGCGGATGCTATCGCCAACAACATTGTTGACATTTCCAACGTGCTGCAGTCGTGGTTGAACGACGAACTTTAAATAGTGTGGATATATATGATGCCAGCGAGAGTTTTGGTTCCTATTGTAGCGAAATCCACAATCCATACCGATGAATGTCAAAAGTACTAGTATTAGTTATGTCCAAATATTGTATTCCATGGCCCACCACAATGCACATGGTCGAGTTGAACTTACTTCGAAGTATGTACTAAAGTACTACTACCTCCATCCGAAAAAGAATGTTCGACTTCATGAATTAGCAAAATTAGACAGGAAGTTTTTAAAAATATGCTAATCAAACTATACCATTAGAACCAGGAGAGTGAGCGTTATAAAATAGTATTGAAAAACCATGCAATTTTAGTCAAAATCTTGACTGAAAACTCAAATCTGCGCTTCATAACCAGAGCAAGTATAGTGTCACATGCACGTTGACTGGACTTCAAGAAAATCCGGATAATATCCGCAAAACCCTGATAAGGGATAACAAAACCAACTCGGCGGGAAAATTTGGTGCTCAAACCACGTCATGAAGGAAGGTGCTGTCGCTGGGTATCGGTAAAGTTCTTCTTCTTGGCTGGAACCAAGAAGAAGAACTTTACCGATACCCAGCGACAGCACCTTCTCCAACACCTCCTCAAGGTCAGTTTGCCAAATGGCAAGCTTCCATACGGCACTGTGAAGCGCATAGCTTCTCTCTTTACTGTTAACTGTGATTCAAGAACAGTTAATCGCATTTGGTCTCGTGCTTGGGTTGATTGCTCCGGAGTGCAAGAGATCTGTGCCGATGTCTCTTCGCGGAAGAAGAATAATTCTGGCCGGAAGCTCAAATATAAGAGCCTCGCTGAACAGCTGCGAAAAGTACCAAAAGCAAGACGTACTACGCTCAAGTCCACATCGAAAGCAATGAGACTACCAGCGTCCACGTTGCATGACTACTGCAAACGGGGTGTCTTCGCAAAGTACTCCAGCCACGTGAAGCCCTTGCTGACCCCCGCGAACCAAGCCGCGCGTTTGAAGTGGGCTGTTGACTTCGTCCACAAGGATGTGATGGAGATCCTGCAGCTTAGAGTAAAGTTTCGGATTGTATACTAGTAACGTTATCTTGCTTTTTGTGTGGATTTGGTACCAGTAACAAATCGGACATTCTGTTTCGGATTTGAATAAACTTCAAGTCGGACATTCTTTTTCGGATGGAGGTAGTACTACGTAGTAATACTGTACTAACGTTAGTATGTCTTATGTACAGTAGTAGTACATGTACTACGTAGTACTCCGGAGTAATAACGTTAGGACTATTACTACCACTGTAGTACCTGTTACGTTATGTACTGTACAGTAGTTAGTACTGCTATGTAGTCCCAATCTACTTACAGTATCCGGGAAATCACAACTAGCCACGTCATTGACTTTCATGTTGTATTTCAATACAAAAAGCAACACAAAATGTGATAACTTGCTTGTAAGCTTCCATGAGATTTTTGGAAGTCATCCAATATTGCGTGTCACGTCGACCAAACAGTATGTACAAAACCCCAACCGTACGATGCAAAACATGTCATGTATTATTTATTATGCAAGATATCAAAAGCATGCAAGAAAAGCCACACGTATCCGCTACGTCTTCGTTGGACAGTGATACGTTTGTGTGTAGTGGTGGATTTAGGCCAAAAGCTGCATGTACGCGTCGTCCAAGTCGACGCCCGCGGCGGAGGACTTCTTGGCCGACACGGCGGCCACGACTGCGACGGCAGCGAGGA